AGAACTGCTCCCACAACTTCCTCCTCCCATCTCCAGGGCCTCACCGCAGCCGGCAGATGTCTCTGTCCAAAAACAAAGTGGCACAAATGAGGGAGAAGCGGTTCACGTTTGTTCTGGCGGTGGTCATGGGGGTTTTTGTCCTCTGCTGGTTCCCGTTCTTCTTCACTTACAGCCTCCATGCAGTCTGCAGAGAGAAGTGCACAATCCCCGATACACTCTTTAACCTCTTTTTCTGGATTGGATACTGCAACAGCTGCCTGAACCCCATCATATACACCATCTTTAACCGAGACTTCAGGAAGGCCTTCAAGAAGATTTTATTCCAGACTAATAAACGCACATAAGCTGTGAATGTGTCTGTGTGTGTGTGTGTGTGTGTGTGTGTGTGTGTGTGTGTGTGGTGTGTGTGTGTGTGTGTGTGTGAGTGAGTTTTAATCCTGTTTTCCACTGTGCTGTCATACCGACATTAAAGGGCTTGCCATACAGCGTGCGTTTTTATTTATTATTCAATTTCAAAATCACTTTGTATCTTACAGTAAACGAACAGGAGAGAGATTATTATTATTTAAGACACATGGAAACATTTGAGAATTTACTTATTTGATGCAAAAACAGTTCAACATTACAATGTGGGTTTTGCCTGAATCTGAATGTTAATTAGAGAGGTGGCCGCAGGGCTGTAAACTACATCCCCGCAGAGCGCCGAGATGTGCACCCTAGGAATCCAGCTGTCAGTCTCTGCAAGCCTTATATTGACACAATAGCACATTCATAGGGATTTGGAAAAAAGGACTGTTATACGATGATGTATTTTATGGCTTTCTGCGCCGCGGAGTGATAAACCCCATCAGCACCCAGAGCTTACATTTTAACTTCAAGTAGACATACAGTAAAGGACGGAAAGCTGAATGAAAGTTAGCAGTTTTCACGGAGCAGCGATGTTCTGTTGACACTGCACGGCTCAGGGGAGAGACATTAAATATTCATGTGCAGCGAGCAGATGGGCTATGCCTCTACACAGAAAGACACAAGAAAAAAGAGAAATAATAGAAAAGAGAGTGCCACAACTGAGCTTCTAAATACATCTAAGGAACCTTGGTCTGCAGAACAATAGATAATAATGCTCTGAAGCTCAGGATGAAACAACAGGACTGGCTTTTATGAGCTCTGCTCTCTGCTGTGTACAACAGTCAGACCTGACAGGGCAACGTGTTGAACCCTGACACGACCCGGAAAAACTAGAGACAAAACATTTACGATGAAACAAACGATGAAGCATTAATTATTAAATCCTTCACTTCATGCAGACTGTGGAAAACATTTTCTGATTTGGACGCTATTATCTTTTAAAGCACAAAGCTATGGCTGAAGTGACATAAAGTTCACGGCCAAACGCGTTACATCATTCCAGTTGCCATGCAACACCTCAGCAATTGCATAATTAACTATCTCCACTGAAGAAACACAGAGTACATTTTTGTATATAAAACATGATAAAGTTCCCTATAATTCAACCAAAGTGCAAGAAAGTTGATGCAGTGATATAAGCCGCCATACATTCTAGAAAATGTTGCATGCAACTGCCTCACTGCATGCTTTTGAATTCTTCAACTTTTGCTCCACAGACAGCCTGAATCACTGAAAACACTGCTCTGCTTTGATATTGGATGCATATGAGACACTCAAATAAATTACATCGCCTGAGGTAGGGCAACACAAGGTCTAACTAAATAATGTTTTGCAAAATTCCAATCTAACCTGATATACTCTCTAAATTCTGCAGTACTAAATCATTTTTAAGGGATGGGAGGATCGGTAAGTAACAGAACCTCTTCTCCGTTCTTCTCTTCTTCTTCTACCTCCAGTCAATGCCAGAATATGAAGTGGAGGGCAGCATATTTGGTGTCAAAGTTAGATTAATTGAACTTTTGCAGCACAAACTGGCGGAACATTGAAGTTATAGCTTACATAAATAAAGAAAATATTTGTCTTTCTATCTCAGCACATTGTCAATAAATTCAATTCAATGGATCTTGTTAAATCTTGGCTGCTGTCTCTCAGACTAAAGGATCCGTTTTGAGGATGCCAAAATGGTGTAATGAAAGCCTTCTAAATCATGGTACTACAATGTAAACAGAAACAAATGCAAGCAGAGACATGTCATCAACTCACATAAACAACAACCAGTTTGGGCACCTTTCCAAATGCATCCGAAATCCTCAATAGCAGAGTAATGTGCACTGCAGTGTGAGTTCAAGGTCAATGTGTTCAATGGTCTCATTATTTGTGTATCAGTGTTGTAGTAGCGGTAACATCGTGGAATTTCCTAAATATATGACACTGTCAGAATTTTAAGCATCCTGCCCACAGTCACTGAAGCTCTAAATGAGACTTAATGACAACCATTAGTTAATTTATTTTTATTTTTGGGGGTTATAACAGTGGTTTGCAACCAGCATATGGGAGCTCACTTTTATAACCTTTCACCTTCCCTTTCCCTGAGACTTCACTTGTTCAGGTCTTAAATGACATCCATTTGAACACAGACAGTGGCAGAATATCATTGTTAGTATTATTAGATCTCAGCGCTGCCTTTGATACTGTTGACCACAACATATTGCTAGACCGTCTTGAAAACTGGGTGGGAGTTTCAGCAACAGCTCTAAACTGGTTTAGTTCCTACTTAAAGGACAGAACAAACTTTGTCTCAATAGGCAATTACAAATCAACCCTGATAAATATGTCATGCGGGGTTCCTCAAGGCTCCATCTTAGGACCTTTGCTTTTTAATATTTATATGCTACCTCTGGCTGAAATTATTAAAAAGAGCGATCTAAGCTATCACATCTATGCAGACGACACCCAGATTTATTTTAAAATTACACCGGGAGACTATTCTCCGATTAGAACACTGAGCAAGTGCATTGAGCACATCACTGACTGGATGACTCAGAACTTTCTCCAATTGAACAAACAAAAAACTGAGATAATTGTTTTTGGAGCAAAGAAGGACCGATTAAAAGTAATCGCAGAGCTTCAGTCGGTAGACTATAAAGTAACTCACAAAGCAAGAAATCTGGGTGTAGTGATGGACTCAGACCTGAATGTTAACAGTCACATTACAACAGTTATTAGGTCTGCATACTATCACCTGAAGAATATATCAAGGATTACAAAACTAATGTCTCAACAGGATTTAGAAAAACTTGTCCATGCTTTTATCTTCAGTAGACTGGACTACTGCAATAGTGTATTCACAGGTCTCACTAAAAAATCTATCAGAACGCTGCAGCTGATTCAGAACGCTGCTGCTCGAGTCCTCATTGACACTAGAAAAGTGGATCACATCACTCGGTTCTGAGATCATTACACTGGCTTCCAGTCTGCCAAAGAATTGATTTTAAAATACTACTGCTAGTTTTTAAATCACTAAATGGCTTAGGACCGAGGTATATAGACGACCTACTCCATCACTATGAAGCATCCAGGAGTCTCAGGTCTTCTGGGTCGGTTCTGCTCTCTGTTCCGAGAATAACCACTAAACATGGAAAAGCAGCTTTTAGTTATTATGCCCCAACAATTTGGAACAAACTACCCAAATCGTGCATGTCCGCTGAAACACTTCCTATTTTCCATCTATTTGCCGCTGCTTTTAATTGAGCTGCTCATACTCACACTACAGTATACCTTTTAGTCATGTATTCTGTACCTGCTGTGTTTATTTATTTATTTTATTTCATTATCTTTGATTTTTATGCCTATTTTTAAATGCCATTTAATTATGTATTTATGCTGTATTTGTTCTTAAATGTCTTTTGTTTTTATTTTGTAAAGCACTTTAAATCGCCATGTGTTGAAAAGTGCTCTATAAATAAAATTGCCTTGCCTTGCCTTGCAGCTATATTTATATATTTCAAATTCAAGTGTTAAACATAGGCAACAACATAAAAATGACCTTAAAAAACAATTGCACACCAAAAAACAGAAATACATCTATTAAAATAGAATTAAATAGATTGCTTAAAGTCCTTTCATTTGCCATCTGCCATTGCCACCTCAAAAAAGCACACCCTCATCAGCTGTTTGCTAAAATGTATGCTTCACAATGATTGGCTCACTCAAAACTGAGTGGTGAGTAACATCCAATTATATTCATGGTTGTCAATGAGCCATCGATTCAGAAGGTGAAGGACAGAGAGCCAGTTTGAATGTGTTTGCTGCCCGATGGAAATTAACATTTTCCATAAGCTAAGTATCTTATAATCTGAAAAGCTGTCAAATAAATATTAGGTCAAGACAGGTCACGTCAATTACTGCACTATACTGTAAGGAGTGAAAAGTAGGCTTCAATAATTGCCTTTGAGAAGTTGTGGAGTAGAAATATAAAGTAGTATGAAATGGAAATAATTAAATGAAGTAGAGCCTGTGATTACCTCAAAATCCTTCTGAAGTACACTACTTGAGTAAATGTACTTACAGTAGGAGAGATTAATTATGAGCATGTATGGCCCCTTCATGGTTGCAATATCATAAGGCAATCCAGTTATGGAATACTTGCTACAATGTCACTATTACATATAATTACTAGAAACTGTCAGGGGTATGTGAAGCAGTTAGACCTAAACACTGAACAAAAATAACACAGGCATAAATACGTGACAAAAGGAGAGCTTTGTTAAAAGTAAAGCTAATACAAAAAAATAGCAAACACAAAACAAGAGAGTAGGCAAAACAAAGCAAAATTATCCCAACTAAAATAAACTGAGATGGCACCAAGAACAGAGACATCAAATCTACAGGGAACAGTTATATGCCAGGCAACATGATGATGAGAGAAGAAACACACCACAGGAAACATCGATTACTACCTGAGAAAGAAAACAGGCACATTGACTGATGGGTCTTAGCTTCCTAACTCTAATAGTTATAATGCCTGTGTGTTTATCTTGTTACGGCCTATAGAATCTTGGACCTCAAAGCAAAAGACTGGAGAGAGATGGTAAAAAACAAAAAGCTTTATTCAAGCAGAAAACAGAAAAAAGACGGCAGTGGAGTCAGGAAGTTGGCTGGTACTGAGTCGTCAGGGACAGGAGGCAAAAATCCAAACAAAGAATCCAAAAGACGAGGAGAGCAGCGAGACACACCGGAGGGTGGAAACACAGAGGAATTATCTGGCAGGGAAGTGGCATGAGGACCGGGCTTTTATATCTACAGGTGAAGAGGTGAGTGGAAACAGGTGTGCCTCGTCTGCTCCTGGGAGAAGCCAGTCAACTCCCTGTCACACACCAGCCCTGCAGAGGAAAACAGAGAAGGGAGGGGTGAGACAGGAAAAAGCACACAAAAGCACACAACAAAAACAAAACTAAACAAAATCATAACATATCTGCCTGTTTAGTAGAGGCAATGTCCACATTGTACATTTTACATTTATGTAATCTGTTCAATATTTTTATATTAATATTCCTTCTGTCATATATTTATGTATATATATATTTATATACCTTGTTAAATTCAACATGTATAATTTCTACTTTCTTGTTTATTTCTAGTCTTTGAATTGTTATTGTACAATGCCTTGTCTTTTTATGCTGCTGCAACACAAAATATTTACTTATCTTATCTTAAAGAGCAGCCTGGGCCTCCTTGCTAAAGGTGCTTGTGTAACCAGTCTGATAGGTGTGTGTGAAAACTGGACCAGTATTCCAGGTTCTTAAAGGATGGGTAATAATAAATCAATGAATGGAGTGAATACTGAGATTTTATAAAGAAAAAAATATATATATTGGCACAGGAATAAACAACAGTCGACCGGCAATACATATTTTTCAATTGTTTTTAAAGCGCTTGACACTCGGGTAATAAAATAAAATAAACCCCCCCAAAAAAATTGTTCTTTGTTCGGTTCCTTTAAAGTCCTCTCAAAATCCTACGACTGGTAGCGGAAAGATGAGATGTTCAGGTTATCAATGTCTGTCTGAACGTGAACATTAATAGAATATCACCTCCCATCTTCAGAGCAATCTGACTATTATAACATTAGCGTTAAGAAAGCTTAATTAAATATCTGCCACAACATAAGTAACCGGATCAAAGTAACATTAAGTACAGTCCGCGGCATATCACATCATAATGTATCATATATTTCCTTATCTGAGTCAGCTTCTTGAGCCGTATCTGGTCGTGCAACACTCACAGTGTCACATACTGTATGCAGAAGTATTATTTTAAGCTACACATTAAGTTGACGAAACACTCGAGTCAAATGTAATTAAAGTCAGATCGTGTCTTAGGCAGTGATATCATAAACCTGTTAATGTAGGCCTATGCATTCGATTCAAACACTTGTTCTTTTACCAGCTGTATTCACCTTGCAGGTGCAGCTATGTGGCTTTTATCCTGGATAAAGTGTTTAAGTCATGGATGTTTAAAGTTTAACTTCTTCATATGTCTAATATTATAGTTGACTTTTCATTCAGGAAGTATGACGCGCTGCACTGTCGCTTCTCCATGTTTGTGATTGGTCGAATGCTCCAAATACCACCCCTTTCATGTGAACGCGCACCTAACTAGATAGGACACGGCTGGCTTGAGCGATCCACTTGATAACCCGCGTCGTACAGTTTAGCGCAGGGGTTCTCAAAGTTTTGATGAGTGAGGGCCAATTTAGGTACCCAATATTGGATTGAGGGCCGCCCAAGAAAAAACGGAACACAAAATAATTCCAAAACAAATCCTTTCTTTATTGTACTAACTAATTACCGCAACTCGCAAGATGCCTAGTTGCCATGCAACCAGTAGTCTAGCAAACTTTCCACAAGCTGTCATTCATAATTTAGGAATGACAACCCAGGGGGCTCAGTTTTACCAATCTTAACCCTCTGGAGTCTAAGGGTATTTTCTCGATTTTTAGATGTTTTCTTAAATCACCTTTTAAATGTATTTCTTCTGACATGGCACCCCATGTGTTACATATCAAAATGTTCAGGACAATCTCTGGTCTTGCTATATATGCATATTGCTCACCTTAGAGCACTGTTTGATGAGATAAGTAGCTCAAAAGCTTAAAATGTGAAATCCGATTTTTGGAAAATCTTCAAAACACAAATTTACTCATGTGATCGAATTGTTTTGGTGTTTTAGATGTGGTTACCAAAGTCCTAGAATCACAAAAGCAGTGAAATATTTGAATTACACTGTATATAAATGTGTTATTCATGTCTAAAATGAAAAACATTACATTCAAATTTTGAGTGAAATCGGTGTTTATCACTCTACTTTCACCACAGCAGGGACTGAGATACATCAGGACTGAATAATGACTTAATATTACATACCAAGGTTCATGTGATGTGTACAAATACAAATTGAGCATTCAAACTTTTTTTTTTTCAACCAACAATTTATTATAAATATGTTTTTTTCAACCAACTATTTATATAAATATAAGAAACTGGAAAATCTCACTATTTACAATATTGAACATCAGAACTTTCAACCAACTATTCATTATAAATGTCAAGACAGTGTCAAGGTCTTTGTCTGTCTTCCAAGACAGTGAGTCTGGCTGCTGTGAAGATGGGGGTGATGGTGCATGGGCTGCTGTGTAGGTGGGGTGTACAAGTGCTATACGAGACCTCCACGAGACCTACTTGCTGGCTGGGTTGAAGGTGATGGCTGTGGTGGAGCCTTTGTGCTGAGGTGTATCTTGACCTGGTGGCAGCCGCAGATGGAGGTGGAGGCAGCTGTAGTGATGCTGGTCTGCTGGTCCTTGGTGGTGATGGCTCTGGTGAAGGCCCTTGAGCCACGGTAGATCTTGACCTGGGGGCCGGCACAGATGGATGTTGTGGCTGCTGGATAAACGCCGCCTGTGTAGGACAATAATTACAACTAATTGCATTGAAATAAAGTTCAAGTAAAATGTTGCTCAAGCACAAATAACAATGCACCAGTGGCGGTTCTAGAACATTTTACATGGGGTGGCAAAGGGGGGGGCAAGAGGTCATGCCAGGGTGGCATGGGAGGGTGGACAGTACGTGGTATTTTATACTGTATATAACCTATTTATTGTTAATTCATGCCCTAACACAAGTGTTCTTAATGCACAAGAGAAACAAGGTGTTCAGACAAACAATCGGGTGCCCTTTGAGTCCCCCAAGCTTACTTCAACCATTTTAAATGAAAGGAAACTACAAAATGTATTTTAAAGCAATGAATTAATGAAACAGGTTGTTTTGCATTACAATGTAAAACTAAATGTATATATATATTTTGTTTTTAAAAGAATGGTTGTCTTAGTAGTAGACAGACATATTTGCATGTCCTCACTAAGCATTATTACATATTAATTTAATATTAAACAAATCAAAATGGCCAATTATCCCAAAATGTTGCTGCTATTATAATCATATGCTTGTCAACTTTAACTGATCAAAAATAAATTCTGAAAAAATACTTGAATTATCTATGAAATTGCAATATTGACACACGTCCCTCAGTTTGTTTCAACCCCGTCACGCCATACCATTTACCCTCCTATTAAGTTAAAATAATGGATCAGTCCATGTGTCATCTGCATCTGCATTGAGAGAATTAGATCACAGAAGTCTTCTGAAGAAAAGATGGCAAAGAAAGGCAAGTGTCAGTTTCTTCTCTTATTTCAGTTTTTGTATTTTCAGATTAAGATTGACATGCTCAACATTTCAACTCTGTTATATGAATTAATAATAGTAAATAATTCTTTATTACAAAATAAACAATAGTTTTGCAAAATATTACAATTTTGTAATGTCCTTGACTTCCATGTGGTGCCATATCTTAGCTAAACAAGGTCTCATGGCTACTTTTTGTCAAAAACTTCAACCCTGTTACATTTTTTCAAGGAAATTCCTAGTAATTATTTATATGTTGTGCCTGAGGTGGGAACATGTAAGTAGTCCACTACCAGATGTTGACCAAACATTTTGGTTTCATTTTTCAAAGATGTAAAGACCCAAAAGGCAACCGATTCAGAGAATACTCAGAATTCTGCTTACTGTAAGTACTTAGTTATAATTAAGTACACAAATGACATCACCCATCTCTTCAGAGAGCTAAAGGTGAGCTGTGCAGCAACACATTTCAATCAATATGTCTCAATACTAAGAGCTGCTAATTGAGCTGCTGTGATGGAATATGTAAGGAGAATAAGAACATACCATGTGGTCCAGCTGGAGTTTCATCTGCCTCCTGATCCCTGCCTCTGGCCCTCTTTCTGATACTTCATCTTTATTCCTCACATACATTTATTCTTCTTCACTAATGTCTTCATCTCCTCCTCTTCCTCCTGCTCTGACCCTCCTGGGCTCTTCAGTGAACGCTCTTTTCCTTTTCCTCTTTCTGTTCGTCCTGATCTCTTCTCAGATATGTCTTTTTGTTGTTGTTGAATCACTCCAGCTACTCTGGCCTGCAAGAGTCTACTTGTGAAAAGCACTGGTACAAATGCTTGTATAACTTTACACGTTAGGGCCATGTAGCTGATATGTAGCATATCATAAATATAACATCAGAAAGTATTTATCAAACGCACACAGGCTGTGTTTAGATCCAGTTTGACGGTAAAGGATGTATCCTGGTTTCATTGATCTGGCCTCATGGCTGTGATTTGTAGTTTACGTGGATTTAATAGTACCGCATAGTTTAGCAAAGTGATCGATCTCCCAGCTAGCGCTGTCTGCGTAGTATTTTGTAACGTAACACCCCAAACAGCGCCCGTCTGTTAAACGCTATCGAATCAAACGGCTGCGTTTTATTAATATTTAGTTTCAAGCTCTCGTCCTTAGTAAAAACAAAACTAGTGGAAGGGGAAATACTCCCAGGGGAAGCTGATCCACCCTAGCTGTTGGGACAGCTCGTTCCCTCTCTGCAGCTGTGTGAGCCGCGGTCTGTGTGAACGCTGCTCCGCAGTTTAATGCAGGGCCGTAGCTTCCTTTTTAACGGGCCTAAAATGATTCACTTTTAACTAATGTAATGCTTGTTTCGTTGCTTGAGAAGCTTGTGGAAATAGTGTAGGTTTGTTTTAGTACAGTTTTAGGGGCAAGGCTCTACAGTGGGGGGGCAGCTGCCCCCCCGTATGATCCCGCCCCCTGCAATGCACACATAAAATAAAGTTTTGGGGAGGTTACAGAAGGAGTCTCTCTCTCTCCTCCCTCTCTCTCTCTCTTCTCTCTCTCTCTCTTCTCTCTCTCTCTCTCTCTTCTCTCCTCTCTCTCTCTCTTCTATCTCTCTTTTCTCTCTCTCCTCTCTCTCTCTCTCTCTCTCTCTTCTCTCTCTCTCTCTCACACAGGTATTTCCAGTTACTTTACATTCAGTATAAAATCACAGACACACATATACATGGGCTACATCTGATTACAAAGTCTCATCTGTACAGGACGGTAAAATAATAACAGGCACACATATACATACATCTATGACAAAGTCTCATCTGTACAGAACAGTATGATAAAATAATCGATGGCAAAAACATGTCACTGTAAATGTCTCCGTTGTGGGACGAATAAATGATTAATTTAATCATCTACACATGTAATCTCACTTTTACACACCAAAATAACGTTAACACAGAGTAAACGTTTGCTAATGGAGAGTCTATTTTGTCCCAATAAAAAGTTCATGACTATCGATAAAAAAAATATATCAATAAAGCTATTGTTCATTTTCGCGGTATTCCCCACACATTGCCAGTACACTATTACTGTAATATTTACACCTACCCATGTCCAAATGATCCTTGTTGTTTTCTTTGTATTCTTCTTCTTCAGAAGAGTTGAAAACTTCAGGTTCTGAGGCTCTATCTCCGCTGCTGCTAGCGAAAAAAATCTCTAGCGAAGTCGGCAACTGTAAAGTTTTTTTTAGACATTTTCTCTGTCTCTCTCTCTCCCCTCACAGACCTAAACTGATGGGAGACACGTGGTTTATGTTTTGTTTACTTGGTGGGTAGGTCCATAGTGATTTCTCGATGTCCATTGGTCATTTCAGACCATGATGGCTGCCGGCCGAGATTTCCTTGACGGACACACAAATCCACCAATCCCACACAGTGTAAAGTCAAGCTGCTTTGAGCGGCCATATTGGCTGCTGCCTGGTTACAGTCTCACAGGAGATACCGCTGGAAAGCTATCTCATTCTAATTCTTACTAGATATAACGCATGCATTTCAGCGTGTCACATTAACTATCGCGGGCCGCCAGAAACATTTCCGAGGGCCGCCATTGGCCCGCGGACCGCACTTTGAGAACCCCTGGTTTAGCGAGAGCGCGTATGTTTTGGATTAGGCCAACCGGCTAACTCAAACATATCCAGGTTAGGTTGAACCTGCTTCGTCGTACATTCCTCTGGTTTCAACTTGCTCTTATATTCTGAGTTCATTCCAGGTAACTGAGCTCATGGGTAACCCAAACATCTTTTAAGTAACTAAAGAAAGCTCTATTGAGCTGTTTATCGGGCTGCTCCAAAAACAAAGTTAAATTATTTATATATAAAAGGAAATAAATACACAAGGGCAGCAGTTAAAAATAGTTTTGTGTTTTCATGTTTATCTGCTGTTTATTTTCTAGGTTAATTATTTAATTGTAGGTCTGGAAAATGTCAGAAACATGAATAATGTTAACCCTATTTCAAATGTTTTGTTAACTCACTCCAAAACCCAAAGATATTTAGTTTAATATGATATGGAACAGACAAAGCAGTACGTCCCCATATTTCTTTTTCAAAATGATTACATTATCCAAATAGCTGCCAATTATTTGTGTGTCAATGGACTAATTTATGATCGTCAAATCACTGCAGTTCTAAAATACATGAAATAACTGAAACCTTTTAAATATTTGTTGTGTAAGCATCTTATAAGGGTAACAACTTGGAAGTACTTTATTATACATATTTAAGTCCTCTCTCTGAGGAAAGTACTTTGACAAACTTTAGGGACCCAGCAAGTGCTGGGGCTCACTATCTGTCCAGTGACAAGCCATTTATTTGAACATGACTTTTCAATCACAAATGCTGAATTCCTGTGGTTAAGTTTTTTATGATTGACAGCCTGTCCTCCTTCTCTTGTTGTGAAAAAGCATTATGCGGTATGCATTTGCCTTCTTGACACTTTTTTTCCCTAGGGAAGCCTTAAGGAGGAGGTTTTTTCTGTGCAAATTACACAATATGTAGGACTTCTGGTCCTGCGGTCTCCAGAAACGCTGCCTCTCACTTTGCTGCAGACAGGTAATTATATTCTGTACCTTTTGTTTCAGTGAGGGTACTTCAGAATTCAGCTTCATCAGTCAGCTAAATACTTTACATAACATATTTACATAACTTTTTGTGTTATTATTATGTAACTTAAATAGAAATCGCAGAACCAGACTGATTTTGTATGCATATTCATTCTGAATGCAGAGACCATTGACCATTATCCAAGCATAACCAAGGTTTTATGATTGATCTTCCAGGAAGAGAACCTGCATTTTGTGCAGAAAATCATGTCAGTACAGGCAATCGATCACACTCGATGGGCTTTAGACGAAATTCAAATGGGGAGAAATCTCAGAACTGTTGTTGCTGTTATCTGAGCCTGTAAAGTAAAACATCTCAGGCGTCCAGCCTTCTTGGATGCACCCCAATGACGTTTTACAAATATTTGTATTACAGTAAAACAGTTTTTAGGAGTCTGAGCCATG